GCTTCATCGATACAAAGAAGACCCAAGCTCTTGGCTTACCAGTGCTGCAAAACACCACTTTCAAGATTGGCGGCTTCGGAGAATCTACGCACATTTCACATCCAGTGAAGTCCCGCTTACACTGAGAACAACGTCTGCTGGAGTCGCTATCAAAGCCGTGAAGATACACACGAAGTCAGCACTCACTTCCGCGATGAACACAGCTTGGTTAAGCGCAGAGGATAGAAGGTTGATTCGAAAAAGAAAGATTCAAGTAGCACAACCGGATCTGAAGACGCGACGGTTCACACCGGACATTCTCATTGGTCAAGAGCTGATCGATCAATTCATCTTGTGGGATCGACCATGTACAAATCTTCCGTCAGGACTTATTCTCACCCTTACTGTTTTCGGTCATGCAATCTCCGGAAGCAGTCCGATATATGGAATCAAGATGGACGAGCATTCGCAGAACACCGCAATCACCATGGTCTCCTACAACCATCCAGTGAGTAAAGAAAACTCAATGAAGCGGAAGCTAGCTAGAAGCGTCGAACAAGCTGAGCGCAAAACTTCCAAATGCCGAGCAAAGAAGCTCAGTCGTCCGTATCCGATGACTATGCTCGCACAACCTGAGAAGTCATCTACGAAACACGAAAGCTGCCAACGTAACAGCGCGTCTCGTGGACAACAATTCGATCGCAGACGCCGAAAACCAAGGGCTCAAGGACAATTCGTGAAGATGATTACTAATGCTCAACCGGGATGTCTCGCTTCAGCGTCGCGCCTGGCCCCGAAGGCCGATCACGACATGATGGCCGACCCCCTTACGAATCCCAGACGAAGACAACGAACCCGTTACAGAAATCATGTGATATACGTGACTTAGCTAATGTTGTGATGAACTTTTGTAACCTATGTGTAACTTTTATGATTTATATTTTCTTGCTTACGCGCCTTCCGTCGCGCGCCCCACTGTCGTTGATTATCCAAATAATCTACAACCTTTAGCATTGTATATCTACCGTGCATGTTATATTCAGTATATCTGTTAGCTTGTCGTTGACAAACCTTAATGTTCACTGACCACTTAAGCCGCCAGGTCACCCCTCCGCTGTGCTTGATAGTCTACTTGGCGGCGCCTACTTCTATGTAGGCAATCCTTCATGCTGTATGATACTGTTGTTTACCAGAAGTGAGCATTCAGGTTATCCAAGCCCAAAATAGTGGCATAAAAGGGCCTGAATATTCAGTTCTGGTGTTGGTTCGAATATTACCACTATCGTCAGCGGCTGTTCCGCATTATTCACTGTTGATAGTCAGCGGCTGCTCCGCTACTATCTAATAAACAGTTTACAACGTAGTGGTACCAGCTTGAATTTTTCGCGAAGCGATGCCGCGAGCGATGTCAGCAGAACAGAAGCTAACACTCCTGACGCGTCTTACTTATGACACGAGCCATGTATCTGCCCCCACCCCCCACCCCCCTAGACTGGCGCCGTGCCACATAAGCGCCGGGCGGTTCTGTGGGGTACAAAAATTTAGACGCGACGTTCGCGACAAAGCGGCGCGGCGCGCGGCGTGACTCCTGACATGGAGCCGGAAAAAGTGCGACTGCAAGTTTTCCACAATGGCCTCTTGGATGCGCTGAGTTTATTGCTGTGCTTGTGCAGTCAAAAAAGTACTACAGCGTTTCCCTGTCTTGGAAGTAACTGAAGGGACTAGGGAGGGATCCCTCATAAACAGGTACTGGCTGCAGTAGACTGTAACTCTACCCGTTTTGGCGGTAACTGGCTGATCGGTCAAGCAACCAATCGCGACTCAGTTGGAGATCGCTCGCCCATCCCCTTCCAAAAATCTCCAAAGTAGGAAAACGCCGTGAAAAGTACATTTTGACTATTCAAGCACAGTAATACTCAGCGCATTCAAAAAGCCATGTAATTGTGCAAAGCTTGCAATCGCAATTTTCCTCAAGCCACTGCCTTGAAGAATTGCCAGACTCAAAATAGCATTCGGCATCAGTATCAGTACAGATACTCACCAACTGGTGAGGTGCCGTCCGAGAAAATGAGACTGTACTGGAGGTCATTTCAAACAGCAATAAAGGCGGTAACACTAGAAACATGAGTAACACGAGTAACATTGGTAAGATCGGCACCGGTAACATCGGCAACACCGGTAACACGAGTAACACTGGTAACATCGGCAACACGGGCAAAGTATGGCCAAACCCTTGTACAAGCATGCTTCTCCGCACAACTCGGTTGGTTCTGTGTTGTTAAGGCCGTCCGCGCCGTACTCGGAGATATACTGCTGCGTCCATTGGAGATACATGACTGGAAGAGGCGCGAAAACAAGCGTCGAAATTGCATGAGGAGAAAGGAGTGACGCGCAGTACACACCTTGCGCGGACGGCCTATATATGTATGCTGGCAGTCAAAAACCACGGGCTAATATTTAGAGACTGGTTAAATACCATTACCTGGCTTGCAAAAACAAGAGCGTTTTCCCAAAAGCCGTTTTTTCTCTAACTGCCCATTGTAGTACGACAAAGCGATAAGTCTTGCCAGATGCTTCACAACACGCAGACACAACTCGGGTGGAAGCTCCAGGAAAGGAAAGGGAGTGTCGCGACTTTCTGGATCTTCCTGGGTCGCTACGGTTGCTGAGACGGTCGTACGCGTGCTTGATGGAAGTTCCATCACGAGATCTGAAAAGGCGGATTCATCAACGGCATACTACTTACATACGCATGACCTAATTTCACGCGTAAAAGGCGCACCTTTTTGATTAATCATGCGAAACGCTCAGCCGCGTGGCGGTCAAGAATAACGATAGCTCTGCCAGCCGCTAGCTGCCAGCCGCTCACGCGAGCAGAACAGTCCGCCCTCACCCATTCTTCAAATTGAAGAAAATAATTTGAATCTCAGTTCGTTTCATTTGAAATTTGTTTTCTTAATCAACCATGAAGGCTTACATATTTCACATGCCAAACCAAGCTTAAAACAATTCTTTCGCGTGTTCATGACTAGGTAAAGCTGACCGTTTCCATCTTTAGAAAATAGCAGAAGCTTTAACATAAAGCACGAATAAAGAAGAACGGCGCTTTCGGCATTCACTGCTACAAAATGTACTGCCTGCGTGAACTCGTCCGCTGCGGGGCGGTGCCACCTGTATACCGTTTATTGACACCCGGGCACTCAGGGCGCCACTATTGCCAGCTATCGTTATTCTTGACATATACCCGCTTCAGTGTAGTTCGAAAAGCGATCCTTATGCCGCACGATTCTCCTAAGCAATACCCGACACGACTTAGGGGCCTTTGCTTGCGGAAGTCCTTCGGCGTATTTGGGCTGATCAAAAAAAATCCCTCGCACCTTGTACGCGTGAAATTAAAATGACGAAATTGAGCTACGATTGAAAGCGACTTCAAAGACCGCCGATAATACCGCTGTGATACTGCAACGGTTAAGAGAAGACCGTGAAAAGTATTAGCTAATAAGATGTAAGTGGTGGTTTTACGAAATGATTACTAGAGGACATTCGTCTTGAGACCCGCTGAGTCGCATGCAACCATGCGCCGCTTTAGGCTGCGTTCATACTAATTACGAAATCCGAGAACAGTCCCAGCACAATGCTCAGTTCGAGCACTGTGCTGGAACTGTTCCCGGATTTCGTAATCAGTATGAACGCAGCCTTATGGCGCAAAATCATAGCTGTCCGGACGTGCAAAACGCTAAATTTGCATTACGGATTGCGACAAACTGTGCCCATCCTTTCATTTCTTCTTCGAAATTTTGATCATAGTACCTACTACGGTAGCAGTGGGTCAATGTGTGACGCTTCGTTGAAAAGGTAGTGCTGAATGTTGGAGTCAACATTTCTTGGCTATAATCCGCTCAAAGATTCAATACAATGAAACTAACAATAAGGTGGTAAGAAGTCCTCAACATGCCCTTTTCTCGTTGAGTGGGTATCTTCGGTACAGTTAACACGTTTCGGACCGCGAAATCGCGCGCGGCGAAAAAGAGCTTACTTTCAGGTGCTAGCCAATAAAGGGACCTTATTTCGAAGACTCTGTGCTACATCTGTAATCAGCATGTCAGAAAGATCCATACCCAAAGTTCTGAGTGAGTTCGAAGTGTTTGAATTTTATTGCCTGAGAAGGACTTCTGTGTTTTCCTGAAAAACAGGAACAGAACTCGGTTTCTAATTGTATCCAAAAGTATCAATGTTGTATCATCTTCACGATTCGTGTAGAGGCGGGGTTTTGCCAACTCAAAGCGTGGCGGTTTTCGTTAGCGAGAGAGTACAAAAAACAATGCTATGACGTGGAGGTTCAAAAGTTTACCTGTGTTATCAGGCAAAGTCTGCAATACACCTTTACACGAATCGTGGAGACGATCGTACATGATACACATCACTATTGGAACTACGGTTTTTCTCTTTGAATTCGTAGCAAAGAATAGTTGCGACGTCGCACGCGTCGTTTGCATTGCCGCACTTCGTTGCAACTGTTGTTCGAATTGTCCTCATATTATTGAGCTTCTATAAAATAAGTGATTTTCACGATGCTCAACAAATTGGACTTCCTCGTATGTACGATACCTCCAACTATGATGCTAATCGTTTTCAAATTCGTTTTGTTAGTTATAGTCGGGAAGAATTCGAAGATATGGAGACAGAAGAGCTACCAGAAGAGATAGAGATTGAGGAGATAATAAGTGAAGGAGATCAAAAAAAGGAGTCTATAGATCTTTGTACTGGGTTGGAAAAGGATAGTATTTTGGCAACTGTAAATTCTATGAAGGACGAGGAAAGATATGTCATGGGATCTTTGAGATGAGAATTTATCAGAAATGATTTCCGTTTTTTTCCAAAGCTTGTTCAAAACCAGAAAGTCGCATGTAATTTACGTTGATCATATTGCAAATGTAGTTGTTGATGGAGAACTGCCGCAAAGGCGTGGGGAATCAAAAAGTTTGGTGATCTTGTACTATAATACGAACCACCACTTAGCTATGTGGTGGTTGTTAAGCGTCACAATCGGCGTTTGCGTAGAGAATTATTTGACGATACAGTGAGTCCTATCAGCAGAGAGTTACGTCAGTCATTGGAAGACACATGCAAGTTGTACAGCCGCGGGAAGCCAAGACTCGTTTCGTTCCATCCTTCTCAATGCAGTGAGGATTATGGGTCAAGATCTGCGTTTTTGATAGCGTGCGAGATTGCTCAGCATCTTGCCATTGGTGAAGAATATCAGTCTGAAGAAACCGACGTGGGAAATTTCTTTGCCAAAGTTGCTGATTGTGTTGATCTTGAAGTTAGCTCGGTGGAAGACATGATAAAATGTTTCTTTGACAATCATGGTCGAGAAGATTTGGTAAGATCCAGGAGTAAAATAGGAAGCAAACGTAAATCGAAAGAATCGTTCCTTAATGTAGCGCGTGTTAGTAAAACGTTGCCAGAATTGTACACTTTAGGAGTAATGAATGAGCTGTGTAAGTACTGCAATGCTAGATACTTTGCTAGCGAACCGAAGACGGTATGTTGTAATTCCGGTGTAAACATAGTTTCCGAATCGGTTTATAAGTGCGAACGAGATGATTTGTTGTCATGGTTTTGGGATATTGCGTTGAACAACAAGGAAATATTTCAGATGTTACGTCCAATCAACAATATGTTGTCTTGTGCTGGAATCAACATAAAGCTGAAAGAATTTGGAACGCATTGCGGACCAGTGCCGCTGGTTCTGGAAGGTAAATATTAAATGGGTATATGTCATCTAATTGAGGAAGAAGGGAGAAAGCCTTGTTTTGCACAACTATACGTGGCAGATGATTACAGAGTGCAAAAAGCGGTTGTTGAAAATATTCAAGCTAGAGGAGGAAAAATTGATAGTAGTATAATTAGACGTCTATTGACACTTTGAAAGAGAATAATGTCATTGTTCGCTCTTATATGACAATGTATGAAGTCTACCAAATGGCGCAAGCGAAATTCAAGGAGCTGGGCATAAACAGTGTTCCACAGGTTGTTATGAATGTCAAACAAAAGAGAGACGTTCCTGAGGCTTTGTCGAAAGATGTCCATCCAGGTACTATCACAAAACCTGTTTTCGAAAATCAAGTTGCTGCGATCTTTCTGTGTAAGCATGGTAATATGCCGACTCATGATGAACTTGACGAAGGTGTTTGTGTGTACTCTAGAGGAAAAGGTGGCGTAATTCCTCATTATAGTTACTTATAATGTCGATGCGTTCAGTTACGCTCTTCTTTTTCCTCGTGGAGAACAAAGTTATGTTAAGGAACGTTTACCCAAAGTGTTCAAGGCGAAGAAGAAGGATAAGAGATTGAATGTTGATGGTAGCGCTTTGTGTGTTTCAGCATTCGGAGACGAAGAGGGAGTGAACGGAGATAGTTCCGATGATTCAGAAGCGGTAGAGAAGAGCAATGGTGGAGATGTAGAAAATACTCGAGTGGAAAGTGGCAAACGAAAATATATATCGCGACGAGAGTTTGTACTTTATATCATGGCTCGCAGGCAAAATCTACAAAAACATCGAATTTTAGGTATGGGTAAACTACTTTGCTCACAGTACATTTTACATCAGTACACAAGAATTGAAGCCGACCGTATGTCTGCGATCAGGAGAAACTGCTTTGAGGTTAGGACTGCAACAGCGAGTTCGCTGTATAAGTACGCAGATCAGAAATTGCAGGAGAAAGGGTATAAACTTGGCAAACTTGTGACCATGCCGTCTAATTGCGTTGGATGTAGGAAATGGTCTCAGAATGCAGTATTCGAAAGGGATGGCTATTGCGCTAAGGATGGGAAAACCCGATCTCTTTATCACTTTCACAGGCAATAGCGAATGGTCAGAAATTAAAGAAAATTTACCAGGGAAGTTTGATAGCTGGATTACGGATCCTTTGTTATGTGTGCGAGTGTTTTACAATAAGCTCAGACAGCTTATGAAAGATTTGAAGGAAGGTAAAGTTTTTGGGGAGGTGTTGGCGTACCAGGTGTCAGTTGAATTTCAACAGCGAGGTATGCCACATGCACATATCCTTGTCACATTGTCGAAAAAATTTATGGACCCAGAGGATGTTGACAGATGCATCTCTGCCACTATTCCTCCAGCTCCCAGAAAGGATGAGGATGAATATGATGGAAAACGAAGATTACGTGAGTATGTAGCAAAATTTATGATACATGGTCCATGCGTTGGACGAAAAGACGCTTCCCTAAAGAATTTCGCGATGAGACTGAGATATCTGAGAATGGATATTCGCTATATAAGCGTCCAAATGACGGTAGCTTTGCTGTGGGCCGTTTAAAACGAACGCTAGCTACCAATGCAGATGCTGTCCTTTATAAAAGATGGTTGTTGTTTAGGTATAGCCATATAATTGTGGAAGTCAGTTCAAACCTAAGGACTCATAAATATATCTACAAGTATATATATAAAGGAGTTGATCAAGTATTACTCGAGATTTTGGCTGATGAAGAGTTACGAAAAAAACAAAGGCGAATTTGGATATTATATCCTCTTTATATACATCCTTTGTTACCAACGATACAGTACCAGCGATCGTTTTTATAGCAGTGCTGTTCCAAGTATTATACCCCCGCATTGACTTCGTGTATTCCATTTTAAAGATTAGTGGGGCTTGCGTGAATAAAAATCCTTATTATATATATATCCTTTGTTACCAACGCTACACTACCAGCGATCGTTATTATAACTGTGTGGTTTCGAGTATTGTACCCCCGGCATTGACTTCGTGTATTCCACTTTGAAGATTACGTGGGGCTTGCGTCAATAAAAATCCTTATTATATATATCCTTTGTTACCAACGCTACACTACCAGCGATCGTTATTATAACTGTGCAGTTCCAAGCATTGTACCCCGGCATTGATTTCGTGTATCCATACTTTGTATATTATCTGGGGTCTGGAAGGCCATCTGGAGGATGTTGCGGTGAAGAAATTGTAGGATGCGGTTTGCAATCGCGTCTGGTCTTACTTCTTGTCGCCTCATCATCATTATATTCTAGAGAATGGCATAGTGAATTAACACCACCGTGATCCTTGTTGGGGTGGACTGTGAAGTTTTCATACTATGCCACCAGGGCCAACTTTTGACTTTTGGCATGGAAAGCTGCCTTATTTCACGTATCTGGAAAATAGTAACATGGCCTGAAATCGCTACTGGTTTTCAGGTTCGTCGCCTTGCTTATCCAGCCAAAGTAGGTAGATGTGCGTCTCCGATACACGCTATATCGGACGTGAGCATGCCTTATGCCCTAACAATCAGCTCACTTGTAAGAACTTGTCGATAAATAATTCCTCCCGTCCTTGTCAGCGATCAGCAACCGAAGCAGAACTTCTTTGAAATTCGCGTCGACATTACTTCTAGAAAATATGCATAGTGAATTATAACAAATACAACTTACCGATGTGCTCAAATTTGGCTGGACAACCTAAAAATATTATTTTGGAATAGATAAAGAACACATCAGGCAGAATTTTGTGACAGAATAAATGGCTGTGCGCTTATTGTCACACTAACGACCAAGCCATTTGAATGACTCACTGCAATTTCGCAATTTTGATACTACTAGATAGCAAGATTGCGAAATGGCAGATAACTTTCACAATCTTCATTGATTATCGCAATTTCGCAATAGCAAGATTATTACGAAGTATATGCTCGCTGATAAGTCTTGCGGTCTGAATTTTTGATTTTCAAGAAATATTCTAAAAGATGCACAGTCTTTCACGATCCCAATCAGATGAAGATTGACATGGCGGAAATATGGTTCTAGAGTTTTGCGGCCCGCTTCTTCTTTTTTGTCTGTTTTCCCTTCAATCTTTTCGATCTCTCCAACTGTGAGCACACAAAGCGCAAAATCTAGCGCTGCGAACGCAAAATTTATGCCATTGGTTTGGCCCGATCCCAATTCGGACTGATGTATGTAGGAAATTAGCAAAACTAACAGTTTCAGAAAGCGTAGTCCGAAATAGACGCATACGACCCAACGGTAGGTCGTATGAGCGTGTGTTGACGATTAATAGTGCGTTTTTTGTACTTTAATTATTGTAAGAAATTACGTACGTCTTGTTTCAATAGGCAGCCTTCAGGAATTCTCAACAGCATCTTACTATCATACCTTCTGGGTTTATTGGATCCAGAATCTATCATTGGCTCCATGATTCGTGTAGAGAAGTTCGATAACCTCCCGCAGACGGAGTTGTACTTTTCAAAAACACGAGCGTCATGCTCTTATGTTCTAAGAATCCGGACATTGATTTGGGAGATCAGTGCCGTACAAAAGCCGAAATAGAAGTCGTTACCTGATTTCGGTTCGGAAAGGCGTTTAGGAAAGTGCTTGCACAAATTTTGCTGTTGGAAGTCTTCTGAACTTTAGCTTATATTTTTTTGTATGTTAGTATTGATATATATGTTAGTATTGATATATACACACAACAGAGTTTGGATCTATACATTCTATTAACAGGTATCGCCAGCAAGTGGGTAAGAGAAGCTTGTTTGCTTAGGTTGGATCATAATCTGACAGCTAATTTGTTTGAGGGTTCTTGAAAAAAGGCACACATTGCTTGATCTTGTGAAAAGGTACACATTTTTTGAAAGGCTCTTAAAGGCAGCGTCCCGCCAGACTGGTGGTACCTGGCTCTCGTAATTATGTAATAGTAGACCCCCTACCTAAGCGATGACTAAAGCTCGGAGCGAAAAAGGGGGTCTACCAAGCCTGAGATTTGCTCCGAAAGTGGACCGAATCTTACGGTAGGCTCGGGCGTGTGCGAGGTGCGTGCAAGGTAGAGACGCAGAGTCGTTGCGGATCCCTGCGCTCATGATGTGTGCGCTATACGCACTCTGGCCCTGCAAATCGATATTGCCGTGTGGGCGGCGTCCGGCCCTACCGTAAGATTCGGCTCACTTTCGGAGCAAATTTCAGGCTTGGTAGACCCCCTTTTTCGCTCCGAACTTCAGTCATCGCTTAGGTAGGGGGTCTACCATCACATCATTACGAGAGCCAGATACCCCCAATCTGGTGGGACACTACCTTTGAGCAGGCACAAGGACATGGTTAATTTATTAGGTCGTTCCGAAAGTAATGTCGTTTTTTTCAAACGTACGTCACATCTCGTGGAACAAAGATGTGTAAGAGATTCTGGTAGCATTCGATGCAGCATTTCATTCTCTTTCTGATGGTTATATAAACACTAGACAAAATTCAATAACCTCTCGAAAAGTTACCGAAATCTGCGACCCATGCTTTTTGAGAAGGCCAAATTTCACAATTTTTCTAAATTTTTATAGCAACTCTTGGGAGGAGTCCAAGTAATGAATGGGTAGAGCAAACCCTAGAGGAAACAGCACAACTTTTTTCTATTCTCCAGAGCTCGTCATAAATTCTGTACAGATTTTTTGATGGAACCACCGAATCTTAGCAGGCTCGTCTCAGACACAAATGCATCAAGAACCAAGAAATCTTCGAATTTTGAAGCTTACAAAGATGGATTATGGTTTTGCACTAATTTTACAAAGCAAATGAGCGTTTATCGCCCAATTAGCGACTTTCGAAAATTCCGGGTACAGCCTGGGGCACCCTGGAAAATCTAAATTATAATGATTTTATCCCGGAAAACTTGATAAATCAGAAACAAAAAACAGGTGGTAGAAAGAGGAAAAAAAGCTGCGTCGAATGACACCCAAGTCGCTTGCCGATTGTTGTTCTGTGAGCTTTGAGTTGACCAAATATGGAATTTGATGGCATTTTAGAACTGATTCCAGAAACTCTAAGAAGCAAGCTAAGGAAAAGAAAAAAACTACTCTATGTCCTATAAGGTTTGCCCTATTTATCTGCCACCTGTACTTCTTCGGAGAATCGGTACACAATTTTAGAAAAATAGCCGAACTTGACCATGGCAAAAAACATGGGTCGCAGATTTTGTTGATTTTTCGAAAGTTCATTGGAAATTATGCAATGAAATTACAAACATTAGAAAGAGGATAAAATGCTGCATCGAAGGCTCCTAAGATCTTTTAAAAAAGTTGATTCCATGAAATGTGGTGTTCATTTGAAAAAAGCGACATTACTTTTGGAACGACCTAATATTACACAAATGAGCAATTATACATGAAAACCATTAGTTTTCCTTCACAATCTTTGGAAGATTTGATTAGATTAGCAGAAGAGTTTTCCAAATTTAGTTTCCCAACATTTCTCAACTAATGCGCGATCAGACAACTACATAAAAAGAATAATAATTTATCTTCGGCCGCAAAGCCCTGTTAGCCAGTTTCAAGTAACACAAAGGTTTCCGCAAATCTGAAAAAGGTTTTAGAATGAAGAGTATTATAACTTCATTCCAAAGGTTAATTTGCGGGAAGCCGCACGGCTCCTCTAGCGAACGCGCCGCAGAGCACCTTTAAGGGCTACACGAATTAACATGGGAAAACTGGGGAGGTGATCGCAGCATACAAAAAAAGCTTCATATCCTGAAGCTCCAGATATCTGGATTTCACGCTGTCTACCTATCCGTAATTATCCCTACCATTTTTCACTACGAACATCTTGAACGGAAGCAAGAAGCTGTACAAGCCGGATTTTTCAGCTTTTTGTTTGATCCCCTGAACATCCTCAGAAGCCAACCGTCTTTTCTTTGAAGTCATTTTTCTTTTTTCGAAGTCAGTAAGAACATTCCAAAGTTGTACTGTTTATCTAACTCAATAGTGCTAATCATGTTTCTGGTAAGAACAAGTAATGTTTCGAAGTCATGAAATTTGCGATGAACCACAAGTCGGAAGGTAGGGTTTATCGAAAAATCGATAATCCAAAAACTCACTTGTTCTTATCAGCAACATGCTTAGCACTGCTGGTTTAGATAATCAGTACAACTTCAGAAGATTTTCTTTGACTCTGAAGGAAGAAAAATGACTTCAACAAATAGAAGGTCGTTCCCTGGGGATCATGGGGGATCACGCAAAAAGCTGGAAAACGCGGCTTGTACGGCTTCGGGCTTCTGTTCAATAAGTTCATAGTGAAGGACGGTGGGAATACTCATGGATAGGTAGACAGCGTGGAATCCAGAATCTGGAGCTTTAGGATATAAAACTTTCCTTTTGAGCTGCGATCCCCCCCCCCCAGCGGGAATGTTGATACATGCGGCACTAAGGAGATAGGGGCATTTGTGTGTGTCTCTAGCAAATATCCCTTCCATTTTTTAGCTCTTTCTTTGTCTGACATTAGTATGGGCATTACATATATTATCACACATCCTCATTATCACGTACATTATCAGGGCGA